ACATCATGATGCACTAAACTAGCTTCTTCCCCCTTTTTTTTTGAAAACCAGATTGTCACTCTCCAAAAAAAAAGTTTATACTGCATACCTTTCTATCAAAACCCGGACCATTATAAGAATGATGGATATAATAGGAGGAGCTCTCATATCGAAATTTATTAAGAGAAGCTATGCTCGAACCTAGACCAGCAAGCCCCACCTTGTGGTGCTAATTAGAAAATCCCCATACCTTCGTCCAGCCGGATCATTATGCAGATATAATTATCTTACTTTAAAAAAAACTATCTAAAAAACATGTTGTTAATGTAACTATACTTTCCATTGTACCTTTTTTTAACGTCTCCTACCTTCTTTAATAAAAAAGAAAGAATGGAGATAATCTATAATAATTGTAGAGGTAATAAGACATTTTTAACGTGAAGTACTACACGTGAGACTGTGATGTATACATCTTTTGAAATGATACTTTTACAGCACAATATAATCATGTTGTACATATTTCAAAATATGTAAACTTAATATAATCATCTATTAAACTTATGGTTGTATGTCTTATGACAAAAGCCGGAGATGTAATCCATTTCTATTATCTAAAAATGTTGTATATATTTCAGAACTTATTCTTTTAAGATACAATATATTTCATGACTGGACATGAATATTTTTTTTAGATAATGGAATCCATTCATCAATCATGCAGAACGAACACTAGTACGTACACTACTGTAAACACACAGTTTTCTGAAGTCTGAACCTTCATTGCATTACTAGCTCAAACACACGCATGGTGTTCTACAGCAGCAGCATCCAAATGAGTAGTAGCATCTCTACTTTCAAAAGAAATGAGTAGCATCAGAGATCAGACTATCATTGTGGAGTGACTTTTGTTCGAATATATATCGTGGGCTAAGCTGTTGCTTATTCCTCTGAAACTGTATGCAACTTTTTTCCCAGCTCGAGACTAAGGACTACGTAGCTGTAACTGTTGCTTGTGCAGACTGCCAAACCCTTGAACAAATTCTGTCATCCTCACGCAAGTCGCCATTGAAGAAGAAAAATTAATAATTAGTACGTACATGTCACTGTCTTACATGGCCGTAATCCATTGGTTAGCCCGGATAATCATCAGAGGGTCTACTCTGAAATATCTAACCACAGTTTAATTCAAGTTTTTGCACGATTTGATCCCCTAATTGGCCATGTTTGGTACAGATGGACCATGAGGGGAAGGATGATGCTAACGAATTGGAATTCAGACAAGAGCTAGGAGGTGTGTGTGTACGGTTGCAGGATGTGGACGATTCGCTGAGATTTCTGTTAATCAGTTAATGGCGTGTCTGGACTGGACAACCACCTAATTAGGGGGCATGTTACTCTAACATGGCACACCAACCAATCCGGCATCACAGCAGAAAAAAAGGGCAAGAGGAAAAATGGTCCTCCAATCCTACACATATATCCTGAATTGCTCATGCAAAACAAGCTGCCTGCAGATTGCTGCTGCTGCCATTTCTTCCATCCATACTTGGGTCACAATAGCTTTACTGTTCTTATGAAAGTATCGAAAGGTACTGCTCCCTCCGTCCCATCTTAAGTGCAGCTATGGCTTTACGTGTCTAACTTTGATCGTCCATCTTATTTAATTTTTTTTAAAAAAATAAAAATATAAGTCACGAGTAAAGTACTATTCATACTTTATCATCCCATAACAATAAAAATACTAATTATAAAAATTTTTCAAATAAGACAGATAATTAAAGTTGGGCGTGGAAACTTATGGTTGCACTTAAAATAGGACGGAGGGTGTATATTTTTAATATAAAATTCAATATCTCTCCGTACTATAGCAAGAGATTTTTCTGTAGGCTGTGTTTAGATTCAAACTTCAGTCCTTTTCCATCAGATCAATCTATCATACACAAATAACTTTTCAGTCACATCATCTACAATTTCAACCAAAATCCAAACTTTGAGTTGAGCTAAACACAGCCGTAGCTAAAAATATGCAGCTTTCTCATCAGTTACCTGGAAGAACCTGTAGTAGGATGGATGGATGGATGAGAATGGGAATAGTTCTAGTCGAGTGATTTCATAGGCCTCATTGATAGGCATTGGAAAGAGCGAGGAGGGCATTAAATCATTGCAAGATTTGAGGGACAAAAGACGAGATGCTCGATCCAGGCAACTTGCATGTGGACCAAACCATCAGAGCTCCAAGTGGGTGTGTACGTTGTGACATCTGCATATGGACATGGCCTATGAAGAAAATGGAGCCATTGCATTTGCCTTGCATTTGCCCTAGTTGACCCGGGACTACAGTCTCATCGGCTGCACACATTACACGCAAGAGGAGATCAGGAGCATCAAATAGGGCCGGTTTAGTTCACGAAAAGAAAATTTTTGTTGTCACATCGGATGTTTGACCGGATGTCAGAAGGGGTTTTCGGACACGAATGAAAAAACTAATTTCATAACTCGTTTAGAAACCGCGAGACGAATCTTTTAAACCTAATTAATCCGTTATTAGCAAATGTTGGTTACCGTAACATTTATAGCTAATTATGGGCTAATTATGCTCAAAAGATTCGTCTCATGATTTTTCCCCTAACTGTGTAATTAGTTTTTTAATTTATCTATATTTAATACTCCATGCATGTGTACAAAGATTCGATGTAATGTTTTTGGGAAAAAGTTTATGGGAACTAAATGGGGAGTAGTACTACTAGTCTGCATTGGTGATGGTATTCTAAACCTGATTGATTAGTACGTGTCTTGGGGCCTCCCAATCCCGTGAAGTTGCTTGTGCCAATGTATTCAACACTGAGTATTAGTTTTTCTTTTCTTTCTGAACTTATTGTTAATTAGGTCACGAGTTGATTTATTTGCTCTCACAACTTCTGGGAGAGTTACTCTCAGCCGCTAATCGGAAAACGAGTCAACCCCGTTGAAATTCAGGTTGAGATCTGCTCGATTCTGTGATCACGATAGAACTAAACAAAACCTGGTTAAGAAATGGAGTACTCCTACCATATCTTAAGGTGTTTTTTGTAGTGTCTTTTTGTAGCCTCGGCTCGATGATTAATGGTGGAACGAAATCAGGTTCGGTCAGCCGAGGTGTTCTCTGAAACTCCCGATCCTTAATTCGTTCAGAATATTCAAATTGGATGATTAATTGCCCAAATGTTGCCGAGAAGATTAATTAGCCGCCGCTACATGAACAACAACAACCAACTAATTAATTACTAGATATATTTGATCAGAGGGTCCGGTTTCTCTATGTCTGACGGCTCCCCTTCATGAATGATGGCATATCACATCCCATTTCTCCATCTTACAAAAAGTGACGTGATTTAATGTTAGGTGCGCATGTAGACATAGATTTATTGGAGAAATGTGAAGGGCAATATAGTGCCCATTTGAAAATTCCGGTCTATATTGTTCATGAGTGAAAGAAACTACTCCTAGCTAGGCCATGGATACAGCCAAAAATTACAGCATCAAAGTGCAGTTCTCCTGATAAGCCTATCACAGACGACTAGCTTATCTTTATGATCTTTCAGCTTTCAGTCAGATTTTCAGAGCAATATGTTTTGTTAGTAGCGGTTGTTATGTTTTAATCATTATGGTTAAAAATGATGTGGTTTTTAAAGAAAAATATCCCCCCTCTTTTGTAGGTTATTTTCCTAATACTTCACTCTAGCTCTCTTCCTAGGATATTCTTTAGAGGTTGGGATTACAAAACTGTTGCAATAACATGCCAGTAGGAGCGTTTTACCTAGGAGTATATGTGGCGATCTAGTCTACAGATTTCTCGTAATATATTTTTGTTTTGATGAAAACTAGCGTGCGGTTGTAGCTGTGTGCATCCTAGTTATACAGATTTTGGAAGTATTCTCATTACGGTTGTATCACCTTGATATAATCGGCTGAATCAATAAAACCTCTATTGTTTTTTAAAAAATAGTTTCAAAGTAGGATCATGAATTTTTTTTCTCATCCCATTTTTTCTTCTAATTTTTTTCTCCGGTCCAATCTGCTTTTCAATGCATCAAGTCATCTTTTTTTAATCTTTTTTATCAAGTCTTTCAGAAAGGATGACATGCACAAAGATTTTCCTATTTTTCCATAGCCTGTTTCGTCTCACTAATGACCCGCTTTTGAATTTATTTTTGACAAGGAAAACTAGTTACTTTTGGAATGGAATTAGAAAAGGTGAAACTTTCAGCACACCACATCTTCTTGTTTTAGACGAATGGATCTTAGGATGACATAATGCCATGGACTAAGCTGCATGTGCCAAAGACCGCCAAATTGTGACCACACCAAGCTAGCAAATTCTTCCACATGCACGAGTATGAAAAGAACAAATTACATTGCTCAGGTGTTTAGATATATTCCTTTTATAATAGAAGCTTTTATATATTTAACTTGGTCGATTATATCAAGGTGGTACAACTACACTGAGAACATACCCAATCTCTACATAAGGCACTTAGAATTTTTACGAAAACTTTTTTTTACGTTTTTTTTCATTGAACCACATCTCCTGGTGCATCAGATAATTTCTGTCACCATAAGAGTCATTTTAAAATGTCCATGCATCTTAGCACGAGGCCTATAGTTAAATACTACTATAGTACGGCTTAAACTCCTTTTACATCTTGCTGCAACTGTGTTACCGAACTGAATTTTGGGCACGTGGCCATATCCATTAAATAGCAGTAGTATGATTTTCAGAAAGAGCAAGTCCACACAAACAAGATCAGCAGAAAGGCAAAAAAATAAAAATAAACATAAAAAGATGAGACGAAAAGGATCGCAGGTTTTGTAGACTTGATTCGACTTGTAGCTTTCTTCCCAACAAAATTGACCGATATGGCGCACGGCTAATTTTACAGTCACTAACCACACACATCTAATTTGCACGTATAAAACAAGCTTTCATTAAGCTGATAACCTTATACTAATGCCTATCTTAACACAGCATAAAGGCTACGGTATCAAACAAATAAATTCCACCATTAAAGTCGCTCATGTAACATCACAAAAAAAAAAGAAGAGAAGAATTACACGGATAGGTTCATTGCAACCATGATGAACCGTCAGAAACTGCAGAATGTGATTCTGGGGGAAATGGCAAATTGGCAATCCAACAAAAGGAAGCAAGAATTTTAGTAGTAGTGCACAAACTTTCTGTCCAATCACTCAACTTAGGAAGATGTCATGAAGCTTGTTCGAGGTTGCCAATTTGCCAGAGACCTGATGACCTGAATCTTCAAGGCTTCAAACTAATTAATGGCGTCCATTTCTAACAAGGGACGGTGAGATTGACCTGTCCATCCATGTTCATTAGCTACCATCCAAAGGACAGAAGGGAAACAAGAACGGACCTTTCACCTCTTGGGTCTTTTTGAAGACTTTGAAGGGAAAAGAAAAACTAAAAAGAGAGAAGAGCTAACTGAAACTCTGAATCTTTGAAAGGATACAGAGGAGCAATTCCACTTTGCCTCCTGAGTTTTCTCAGGGTTGGCTCTTCCTCATCGCCATGTCTCCCTTTTCGTGATACTACACAGCTGCAGTTGCATGAGGAGGAGGAACTAGGTGAGGCTCCATCTGTAAATAAAAAAATAATAATAAAGAAGACATCAATTATGCACAATTATTAAAAGGGAAAGCAAGGAAGAAATGGAACGAGTGGCTATAAAAATCAGTTGACCTCACGCATAATTCCAGTTTAAATATGTTTTTTTTTTGTAACGTTGATTTGGATCATGGGCTGAATGATGATGCAGTTTGAAGTTTTTTTTTTAAATGTAGACCAATAATTTAAGTAGATGTGTTGAATACATAATTGTGCATGATTCTCGTAACGGTGACACTTGCATATTCAGTTCTCTTTTGGGGTGGGTAATTTGGGTAATAATTGTGTTTAGTATTGCAATTGGAGAGACATGGATGATGTCTTGCTCTGACTTGCGTCGTGGAGCTAGTAGACTAATGAGTAGAAGCGACATAGATCAATCATTTTTGCTCCCACAATAGTAAGCCCAAGCGCACACGGTGGTTGAATAGAATGTTGTTTGCTAGTTTTTGCAAAAAAATTATTTGGTTTGGTATCAGAGAACATTTTGTTCTTTACATAAAGTCCAATTTTTTCACTGCTTAATTTTGGACCCGTGATTCCCGCATTACAAATATGACTATATATGTTGTTCAAGGAAAAATCTAGTTACTGGTAAGCACTATTTTGCACTTCTGATTTCAGAGTTCATGTTTTGCAACAAAAAAATTCCACATGAACAAAAACTTGTACACCATACTAATATATTTACATTTGAGAAATCAATTATGTTGTTGCTCGACTAACCTTGATGACGCTGCGCAGCTTGCAGCTGCAAGCCCCGTAACAGTGCTCCGTGCCTTAGCAATGCCAACCGAACTAATTGAGATCCCCTGCAGTACATGCAGTACTGCTCATTGATACGTGGATCCGAGGGGCTATGAGGTCCACGTGTCAATGATCAGTACTGCACATGCAACACTGCAAACGACCTGCATCCTGAACTAACTGAGATCCCCTGTCAACAAAATTAATCTGAACCGTGTACAGTAAGATCAATGTAAACTTCACAACTGATCGATTTGGATTAATGGAATCCCCATTCAAGCACAATCTAGCTAGATCCAACAGGTGTGTCATTGGATAGGACCACTATATATATGCCTATCATCTATCAGTGAGAAGGACAAGCATTACCAGCATGCGCATGAAAACAACACCCTTCTCAAAAAAAAAAGGGAAAAAATAAAAGAGAAGAAAATAGCATGCATTTACTTGAACTCTTCATTGAGATGCATTGTCCCCATCCTTTTTAGCTCTTTGATGAGAATAACTTTTTCTTGTACCATCCTGTGCCTGTCACCCATGATCTGATCATATCAAAAGGGAAATGGATTGAACAATTGTCATGCATTAGCAGCAAACGCTGGCGAACGTTCAAAAGCAGCATGATAGGGTGACCACAATGAGTCTCCTCTCAAGATAAAAGAAGAGTATCCACATGCATCTATCTTGACATTATTGACTCCAAAATGTTAGGCATAACATGTGAAATGCCTTTTTTGTTTAATGTCAGTTACAATCGTAGTACAATAATGGAGTAATTGCACATTGTCAAATTAATAGTAGTAACTAAAAATTTGAGCTAGTGCTGGCTGAATTTCCAAGCAGTGTCATGGATTTAATTAGTCATTATTGCATCACAATTAGGAGTTTTTGAGCCCATGCGTTTCCTTAATTTGACCAAAACCAAAGGCGGCTGTTCGGACGAGGAGAGGGCTTTGTGTAGCCACTGTTTGGGAGGCTTGACCTTTGAGGTCATCCAATCAGACGCTGACATTTGTAATTGAAGTGTTCCTTGATAAAACAGGGGAAAGTGTTGGGTACTGATGTTAGAAATTGTTTGTCCATATACTCCCTCCGTCCCATAAAAATTGCATTTCTAGCTCTAAGGCTTTGTCCCACAAAAATTGTATTTCTAGCCATGTGGGACCCAACCAATTGATTCATATGTATAAGTTTCCTTTCATCCCACATAATTTGGGCTGCTAATGCTTGCAATTTTATTAAGTATGCTAATTATATGGGTTAATTCTCTCAAACTTCCTTTTAATCATTTATATATATGGAATGTGTGCATGCAGTGGGTTCATTAAATTAGATTATTGTTGTCATTTTCCAATCCTACTATTTTGTCCTAAATTAGCTAGAAATGCAATTTTTATGGGACGGAGGTAGTAATTATTTATTATTACCAGATAACATCGATCATATTTATTGTTTGAGACATAAATTTTTTACATATGAAAAACTTATAACAATAAATTTTACAGTCATGCATTTCCTTTTGAATTATACAAAATAATTAAGTAGTCTTTTGTTGACTTTGAAAAGTCTAAAATGGCTTCATTTCGTACCTAGACAAAAAAAAATCCACAAAACAATCAATAGGTCCATACTCAAACTTCAAAAAATGGCATATCAAACTGTCCCCACCAGTTTCAACGAATAGAAAACAATGCAATATTCTCACATGAGTTGTAGGTACAAAGAAAGGGCACAATAATGACCATTTCAAACTGTCAGTTATATTTACCCCAAAGAACACAAGAAGTCCATCTCATCTTCCAAAGAAGGAAACGGGCCGTTGTTTTGGGTGCCATTTCGACCATTACGAAGATTAATTTTGGCTGCTTCAACTGCTCCAGCCAATCAACCATGCACATTACAGTGGTACTAAGAGCAAGTTTAATAGTATAGTCCACTACTAGCTCCAAATTATCTATAGCCAATGTAATAGTCAATTCATACAATATTTGCTTACTACACTATTAATACATGGTCCCACCTGTCATACACACATTATGTTTGTCCGTGCTGCAGCTGACTACAGATCTGTAGCCCGCTGCTTTTCTCTCTTTTCTTTTATCTGCTTAAAATATGTTTATATCTGGTTTATAGCATGCTATTGTACCTACTCTAAGTAGTATACTCCATTCCAAAAACCAAAAAAATATAAAATACATTGCACAGAAATCCGCTCAAGAAGGCATGTAGTACCATCACCGTACTCACATTGATGTACTCTCAATATCCATCTGGCTGTTCCTGACAAGATAATCTTTGTAAGCATATGGTACGGACTTAAGGATTTCCCAAAAAATATATATATTCCTCTCTATCCGTGACCTAACAATAACACAGCAAGAGACACCTAGCTAAATCCAAGCCCTGAAGCATCCCTCGATTGCTCCATCCAGACCGCCGAGATGGCTACAAATTTCGAGAGATTTTTTTGAATTTTTTCCTCGGATGGAAAAAACCAGCCGAATCTTCCCCGTTTTTGTACGGCCTCGCACGCGTATGGAACGGAATTTTGTCGTGAATAACCGTGAGGATAAGGTGAATGAACGGGGGTGTGCGATAGAAGGGAAGAAGGGTCGCTTTTTTTAGATCTCAAGTTGCATTCATCGCCGACCCTGTTCTGTCCTGAATTATTGTCCACAAAAGATTTTACTAATTTGCATGCCAAGGAGACTTTCTCTTCTATCTGCCCCTATATAAGTTTTTTTTATTTTATGTATTTTTCATATAAAAAAAGTGGATGCTGCTAGCAGCTAGGTGATGCTTCCGTCACCTGCAAATTGCTCGTTGAAACCGGCTTTATTCAAGTGAATTATTTGCCCATTATGTGCAGGGGATTAGAATAATGCTAGGGGATGGTAGTACAACGCTTGGTCGGCTCTTACCTCTTTGAGAGCAGCAGGGTTCAGTTTGACACTTGCAATTTTATATGTAAACCCCCAAGAAAAAAAGGTTTAGTGGAACAGATGGGAAATAGCTGAACTGAGGCAGCTAGGCCTGCACTGGAACATCCCTGATGAACTATTTAATTTCTTTTAAATCCAGCAACTACACAGATACAATCATGTCTTGTAGATAATACTTCTATCGAACGGTACGCAGGTGCCATTTGGGCGAAAATAAGATAGTACTTCTAGAGCCGGCCATTGTAAATTGAACAGGAACAACAAATTTAGCGTTAGTTCATATTAAAGCCAAATTTTATCACATGGATACTTTGTAAGAGCGAGTTTAATAGTATAGCCCACTATTAGCTCCAATTCATCTCTGGCCAATCTAATAGTCAATTCGTCATATAATAATTGCTTACTATACTATTAGTATATGGCTCCACCCATCATACATACATTTTGTCTTAGATTCCGTACTGCAGCTGACTACATATATGTAGCCCGTAGCTCTTATCTCTCATATTTTATTTTATTAAAATATGTTTGTAGCTGGATAATAGTCTGCTATTATACCTGCTCTAAGTCTTAAAATATTTCGATTTAGTCTTCTACAGATATGAGTGTACGCGCGTGTTTATATGGGTAGGTGTACGTTCATACTGTGTTTGTAATTTAATCCACCATCGAGATCAGCTAGCTTCGTTCGTCCGTGAGCCGCACGATCCACATCCATCGGACGGTCCAGCTTGTAAAATGAATCTCACTACTCTACTCACTCCAGGCACAACACGGACGGTTCCCCACGGAGTTAAAAAACCACACACACACTGTACACACCCAAAGCCCGAAAACCCGTTATCTCTCCCGTGATGCGGCGTGGGGCCCACCACCACACACCACCCCAAGTGGCTGACATCCACAGCTCCGTGGGCCCGGGTCCCACAGCCTCCCTTTCCCCTCCCCCTCCAAGAGTCAAATCTCCACCTCCCCCCTACGCCCACGGCCCACCGACACGTGGGCCCCACGACCCAGCCAGCCAGAGTCCCAGAAGTTAACGGGGGCACGCGAACAGAGAGGGGGGCCCCGCGCGGCGAGGTGGGGCCCAGTGCGGGTATGAAGCGGGGAGGCGCTATATAGAGCGCACCCATCCTCCTCCCCCTTCCTCCCTCTCCTCTCCACTACTAATACCACCACCGCCGCGCCGGAGGTGGAAGACGGACGGGGTAGAGTTGGGGTCTCGCGGTGAGCCGATTCCTCTCTAGTGGTCGCGCCTGGTGTGTTCGCCGACGACGCCGGCGTCGCGTCAGCCATGGGTGGGCTCGAGGAGATCAAGAATGAGGCCGTTGATCTGGTGAGAAAATCACTCGCCGCCACCAGCTACCTACTACTTCTTCTTCCTCGCTTCCTCCCTCTCGCGTGTTGGGTTGCTTAGGCTTTAGCTCTAGCTTTAGTTCTTACCATTTTTGACTGGCGATAGAAATAGTCTGAGAATTGAAAATTAATGATACCGGCTAGCTGGAGCTGAGTAGATTTCTGATACGCTTAATAAATGAAAAGGAAAATTTTCCATGTAAAGATGAGCACGGATCGTTCGTCGTCGGCGGCGGCCTTCACGTCACGCTCTCTTTCTCAACGCGGCTTTTCATAACAGAAGGGGCCAGTTGTCCATGGCCGCCTGCCATGTTCTTCTCTTATTCTTCTTCTCTCTCACCCTGTTCGCTCCTCTGTACTGTTTTGCTGCTGTTCCTCTCACCATCATCAATTTGTTCATCTGTCTCCGGCTCCTCCTTTTTTTTGGTTGAAATGAAACTTTTTGAAAGATCCTGCTCACATGCGTGTTTAATCTGTCATGTAGGAGTACACTATACCACTATGGTCACTTCTCCACCAAACTATAGTATAAAAAAAATTGAATCTCAGATCTACGCGTAATTAAATGCCCACCTCCAGTTATTAGTATTACTCTTGCCTCTACTTTCCTTTTTTTTTAGTTCTTCATTTATACAAAGAAGCAGTGAACAAATATACTCAAATAGTTCTTCAGCTTCGCAAGTACTCCTACTCCATAAAACTATTTTTCAGCTTCACACGTAAAATTAAAATTATTCATGAGCTTCATACGAATTTGCATGTACGTAAAGTCAAAAGTCACTTGAGCACGGGCGCGAGCTAATCACGCAGCGGAGATTAGTGGCTAACCACCATAAAGGCAAGCTAAACACACAGTGGAATCCGTGCGTGCCTAGCTGAGCTGCGGCCTTTTTTTTGGTTTGCTTTGTTTTTTTTTTGTTCTTTTTTGTTGACCAAGCGGACAGCCCAATCCAAGAGCACAACGTATACCAGCCGCTGCTCGCTTTA